TTTCCTTTTTAGAAACCCTTGTAATAAATGATTGAAAGTAGGTAACCGTTGCAATTTACTATGAAAATTGAGCTCATCATATGCATGTCGATCACTCAAATTTCATAGTAAAAAATTTACCCCTGTGATCTGCGTGACAAATCGTGTGACTGTTATATATATATCTAAAACTCAGGTTTAAGTGACGATACTTCTACGTAGCAACACCAATTTACCCACATGATCTGCGTGAAATGTTATTTCGGACTTCGATTCTGGTATCATTATCACTAAAACTTAAATAAACAACGGGATTGTTAAAATCTTAAACACGACTTTAGCACGGGATCTCGCTTAAACCAGCTTAATCAAAACAATTTTTTTGCAAAAAAACTCGATCGAGTTTCAAAAGAGATGCAGGGAGACAAAAACGAAGTTGTATACATTTGAATAAGTAAACAAAGAATGACACACCCGTTTAATCATTATTAATTTTATAATTACAGGTATTGAAGACTTTAGAGCAATCAAAATTCTTGACCGATTACCTATCACAAATAAATGTGGCAAATCACGAAGCATCTCAAGATGGAACCGAAATTCCTTGTATAGCTTTTTCAGCCAGAAAATTCGAGACAACATTTATTAGTAGTGATTTGATATCACGTTCTGTTGAATTCGATAAATTGATGGCTAAAATCGACAATATCGAGCATGTGCTAAAACAAAACATCATTACTATAAAAGATGAAATGTTTAAAATCGGTTCATCACTCACACACGAAGTACAAAGTTCACGTGGAGGAATTCACATAGGTATGTTGTATGTACGAATATAAATAATTTATATTGACAATTTTGTTTAATAACAATATTTGATAAGACATATTTAGGGAAGAAATATCCAAGCAAATAAACAATATATTTCCTAAATTAATTCAAGACATCAAATTGAAACACGAAGAAAATACAAAGTTTTTAGAACAATCGTTTTCCACACAAGTCGAGGAATTAAAGAGAGAGCTCTCTATTCATCATCGATTACTTGAAAATGTTCTTGAGGTAAGAATTTTCATTGGATAATTATGAAGAATTGATACGTACAGTACATAATCATAATAGTGCCTTTACAGAATCAAAAAATAGCCAATTGTCAACAATGTTTAACAGCGCCAACGGGTAGTACGAGTGGTACCGGTAGTTCATTGAAACAGAAATCTTACAATACATTTGTAAAGCAAGAAGAAACAGAATATTCTATACCGAAATCCTCCATAGGGGGTATTAATACACGATTTGAACAAGCTTTAGATCCTAAATTACACGTGAAAGAAGCAAATAAGATAGATGAACAGAGATTTACACAACTAAAGTCTTTATCAAATAACCAAACTACGTTCCAAGAACCGAGCTTTGACGGGAGCGAATTTATGACACAAACCAGAAGTACACCTTCAATTCACACACTTAAAAAGTCCGAACAAAAATACGTATTAAGGTATTATATTATAACTTGAATGAGGAATGTTCTTTTTAAGTTACATATGCATAATAATAGATATCTTGCAGACAAAATAATACAAAAGAAGCACATCTTTCCTTAACAATTCCCGAACGGTCATCACAAAGCGATTCAACAAATTGCCCACCAATTACGAAATTAAACAGTACAGCCAAGGTAATGAAAATGAAAAAGGATAAAAAGCTTTTTTTTAAATGAAAATTATGTAAACGTGACACAAATATTTTCTTGATAGATAAAACGAAAGTTGATAATAGACGTTGATTTAGAGCAAGAAATTAAAGAAGCATTAAGTAATCGAAGTAACAAGCAATTAAAGCGATAATCTTATTATTAGAACATATACAGTATATTTGTATATATTATATAACAAAAAACAGCTCGTAAAGGAAAATCGGCGTGAGAGAAATTTTTAAGTCATAAGATTTAATATTTGACGATACGGCATTCTTTTTACCAAAAGCGAAAGAGTGATGTAACAAGAGAAAAATGCCAACACTAATGAAATAAAATAATAAGTGATCTCATTAATCATCACTCCTCATTATCTCATAATAAACCCATAAAAGTATAAATATATAACCAAAATGGACAAATCGAGAAATTATTATTTGTTACATAGATAGAATGTGGGGAAAGACTAAAATGATGCGACTTCACCTGACAGGTAAAGAATGACTACGTAAGGCTGATGCAGGCGTTTTATAATTTAGGACTAGCCAGGAAAGGACAAATGAGTAATATTTTATACAGTATATACGTAGAAATCGAGTCGGAGGGAATTCATGTCGATCATTAATAACAATGATATGTACTGTACGTACTGTAAGTACGATAAGAGAAATTCGATCATTTGGATTTGTGGGTCAGAGCAAGAGTTCTACGTACGTACAGGTTTTTTTTATCGATATGCAAATGATCTGTTTACATGAAAAGCATGAAAAGCATGAAAAGCATGAAAAGTATGAAAAGTATTGCTTTTATTACTAAGCTCTTTAAATAATACATGTGTGTGATTAATCTACAGCTAATCATTAGCTATTGCCATTCACATATATTTTGTATATTTTTATAATTATTACGTATAGCTTTTTATTATTCTAACCCTGATGATACCCTGGTAAATAAATCATAGATAATGGGAAAAATACAATTAATTTAATTTTGTACGATTATTCTACGTATTTACAATATTACAGTATTAATATATTTACAAATATTATTACAATACCATATATTTTACATTATTTGCCGTATTAATTACGTACAATATTTTTAAAATGAGATGGAGTGGCTATTAGTTTGGTTGTTTGTTTATTACATAATAAATAATCGGATGTTCAAGAAACATGCTCCGACGTGACAAATAATTCATCACACGGATTTACATGCGCCAAGACCGAATAGTTTTTGTACGTAGTTATAATTAAAGCAATACAGTAAATTAAAGATCAGGTGATCAATATATGCTTCAGCTCGCATCCATATTAGGAAAGAGAAGAAACGCATACGTTAAAAAATAACTGTTAATAGTTTCATAATAATCGGAAGTGATATTTCATTATTGGTCCGATTAAAAAAAGACTTTCACGCATATATATGACGAAATTTATCTATTATGTACCATACGATTCAGTGATTCGTTCTATTTCATACGTACATGTGGTGATGAGAAAGAGGCTATTGATTCCACGAAAATAAATAAATGGAATAAATGAAATAGAATATATATATAGATTAAATTAATAGCATGCATGGTTATTAATAATTGCGGAACAAAGCCCGGTTTGAAGTGGTAATATAAAAGTAAATTTTGTGATATGATATGAGTTTCGCAAGCAAAATTGCATATAAACAAATCAGCGGTAAACTTATCCTCAAAGCAGGGTGATTTAATGTATTTCTATTTGCTTTGTTAAAATTTCTAAACCAAGCAATATGATAGCCTTCCAGATGCGCCGTTATTGAGGGTCAGATCATAACAATTAATACTTCAAAGAAATGTAACAAGAAGTGAAAAAAAGGTTGAATAGAACAAACAAATCATGACGTGACTAGATTAGGAAAATGATTGAATTCTTCAATTTTATTTTATACAAGTTTATTTTTATTCTTACATTTTATTTTATTTTATTTCTATTGAATTTTTATTTATTTTGGAGGGAAATCAGTCAATTGGTCGAATGGCATCCCCTTTATTTACAGTATGCGCAGTCGGTTGTATTTCACGTGTTGTTATCGAACATTGGTACACTTGTGCATTGGTTAGCATATACTGTACTGTACATAGAGAAAATATTAACATTATCAGTTATAGAATTAACGTTAATGTATGCTAATTCAAGTGATTTTCATACATGCATATCAATTTTGTGGTTTAAAGTTTTGTAAGCCAGTTCGCTTCGTGTGTGTAGTTTGTGTAGTTCTATAGTTAGTCTATAGTTAGTCTATAGTTAGTCTATAGTTAGTGTTAGCATTAAAGGTGAAAAAAATAATGATTTTCTAAAAGTGCAAAATCTTTATGTTGTGCATATGAACAATTAATTTAACCACCTTAATGTGTCTTAGACATTTTCCGTAATATATATATTTCTTTATTGCAGATTATTTTTAAAGAGCTTTGTATGGTGCAAGGTGTCTTCGGACCGGACGATACAAAGTAATCGATGAATATATTGTTACACTGCTGGAATTGCTGTTCTTTAACCATTGAAACCAATACGGAAACTAAATTGATCGGGTCTACCACACAAATTACCACAAATAATGAACTGCATAATAAAAAATGTAACATATTACCAGTAAAAAAAACTCGTGTTTCTTTCAGTTATTAATACTATCACTTTATTCGTAGAATACTACAATACTGTAAATAGTTGTATATTTTGTACTCGTTGCTTCCATAAATAATTCATCACACGACTATAATCAGCATAATTTTTTTTTTTCTTCATGTAATGCTGTAATGTGATGTTGAATGCTTATCAACTTGTGAATATCTTTGCACAAAAAATTTTCTTGATCTTTGGTGTAACACCTAATGACCTCTGGTTTCTTTTTTTAGTTGGTCTAACTCTTTGTAAGGTTTCATCTTATCACACCCCTTTTTTTTGAAAATAAAAAGTCTCTATATTTCTTTTCCCGTAAAAAAGTGGGCTTTTCATATCTTTTATCTAATTTCTATTTTTTATTTTTATTAATTATTATATAATTTTAATAAAACAACTCTGCGCCTTTTTTTTTCTCAAACGAAAGAGAAAAACAAATATTTCTTACCTGCAATAGGCTCTTTTTTCTTTAGAGTTATTGCTTTATCTCATAGTAATATCACACTCGGTAAAATTCAATAATGTCCGAGATTGCTAATTCAGAAACGGCCGAGATTCAGGTCGAGGTCGTAGAGAAAAATATAACTACCGAAACAACTAAACCTACTGAAGTTACTGAGACTATCGAAGTTACTGAAGAAGTTCTTGAAATAGCGGAAGAAAAAAAGGTAGAGAGTGTTGAGGAAACAGTTAAAGAAAATGGAACCAAAGATAAAGAGCCTGAGTCTTCCAAGCCTCTTGACCCTATTTCTGAAGGCTGGCTGCATAAGCACACTCGCAGATATATTTTTGGTAAAAATCATCAATATTTTGAATTTGGTGATGCTCCTATTCCAAAAGAAAATCTTAGTTTATATTACAAGAAAAATGTGAAAGATGTGCCTACAAAAATTCCTCTCATAAAACCATCGACTGAGAAAAGCGAGAAAAATGATACTCCTGCACCTGATGCTTCTGAGAACAAAGATGTGAAAGAGGAACCAAAAGAGGAATCAGAACTAAAAGAAGAACCAAAAGAAGAAACAAAACCAAAAGAAGAAGAATCAGAACCAAAGGAAGAATCAGAACCGAAAGAAGAATCAAAACCAAAAGAAGAATCAACACCAAATCAATTCGAAGAAAATAACAAGATATTTTTCTGCAACATTGCTCACGCTATTCATACGGGCAAGGGTCTTCTGTTTTATTACAAGAATGAAGACTATAAAAAAAAACGAATACCATCAGGCATTATCAACTTAAAAGGAGTTACATGTCAGGAGATCAGTTCAAACTCAAACAAATTTAAAATAATTACCGAAAATGGCAAGGAATATGAGTTGGAAGCTTCCAACGAAGAAATTAAGAAACGTTGGGTACATACCATTAAAAATAAGGCTGAAGAAGTTGAAAAAGCTGAAAATGGTATCGACGCTAGTGATGGATACAAGGATATTTATAATCAACTCGGTAGGTACCTTTATATATATTTTACTATGTATGCTATGTATGCTATGTATGCTGTATATGCTATATAATATATAACGGTGTGAAAGTGTTTATTTCTGCGTTTATATTCTATTATTATTATTTAGCGCGTCATAAATTATATAAATTAACGTTTAACGTTGTTTTTTTTTTCTTTAAATTATATTTTTAGTAACTAAACAGTTCAATGTTTCTAAGGATGGAGGTGTAACTTCAGATTCTGAATTACTTTCTGATGGCGACGAGAGACAAAGTAAACAAGATGGTAAACGCAAATCTCTATTTCCCTTCCCTCGATCCAGAAAGTCTCCTGATACTACTCCTACTACTGAGGCACCTACTACTGAGGTTACTACTACTGAGACTCCTACTACTGAAACTGAACCCAAAAATATTACTGTCGATACAAATGGAGTTGAAGTCTCTCCAGATGATGCTGCTACTAAATCTCCAAAGTCTGCAAAAAGTAGCATTTTTAATAATTTATTTGGCAAGAAGGAAAAGGCACCAGAGACAAAGGAAGAAAGTGCAAAAGATAAAGAAACATCCCAAGAAAATAGGGACATTGGACCTAGTGAAACTCCAGCTGCTGTTGATTCCACTACTGCCACCGAGGAAAAGGGTACACAAGCCACTGAAGAAACCAAAGATGAACCCAAAGATGAAAAGAAAAAGGGAAATTTTGTAGAAACCTTTCTTAAAGCCCTAACTGCAAAGACTAAAGATGAAAAAACTCCTACGTCAGAAGCAGAAACCGCTGAAAGTATGTATAATTTTATATCAATGTATTTTTTTTAGTTCTTAAAATTAATATATAACGTTTTGTAGAAACTGAATCTACTGAACCTGTCTCCGAAGAACCAACGAGTGGTGGTGAGCCAGCTAAGGATGAGGAAACGACTGAAAAGCCCAAAGATGAACCTACCTCAAAGATCTCAAATTTGGGTCGTAGAATTACAAGTGTCTTTAAGAAAAGACCTGAAAAAGCACAGGATGATAACGACGAACAAAAAGATGATGAAACTTCAAAAGATGCCGTAACGGAAGGCGAGGACAAGAAGAAGAAGAGGTACTAATTAATTAAATGGTTTCTAATAGTAAAAAATAATTTAACCATTTTTTCTTATTTTCGGATAATAGGATAAGTATGCAAAAAAAACAAGGTTCACAAAGCGAAGAGAAACAGGACTCAGAAACTGTTCCAGACGAATTCGAAATTATTCAAAATGTGAATAAAGAGTACCCCAATGCTGCTAAACAAGGAAAATTACAAAAAGAATCTCAAATTCTCAAACGTTACGAAGAACGATACTTTGCGTTCCATAATGGAACATTATACTATTTTAAAGATAGTAAAACAAAGAAACAATTTAGCATAGACAAGTCATGCAAAGTCAAAAGCCTTGCTGATAAGAAATTTGAACTTGAGACTCCATCAAGAACCTACAAATTTCAAGCTTCAAGCGATGATGATCAAACTGAATGGACTAAAGTAATTCAAGAATACATTGATAGTCTCCCCGAATCATCTGATAAAAAGGATGAAAAGGATGAACTCCCTCAAGTCCCAAATGACACAAATACTGAAGGTATACAGGCAGCGGTCGATCAAGCTGCTGACGCCTCTAAAGAAAATACTGGATCTACGACTGAGAATGAGGCGTCTATTGCCGAAAAAACAGAAATTCCTACAACTGAAACTGCTACAACTGCTACCTCTTAATTAAACAAAAAAAAACCCCCCTTTCCCAACAACGATAATTTCGATTAAAAAATTTTTTTTAAAAAAATATAAAATGTACTATTTATATCTTATTCATGTCTTCTTAATCGTATCTTAATTTCCTCTATATTAAACACCTATTTTTCTTTTAAACCTTAATACATTTGTAACTTCTTATACATATATATCATATAATAACAAAATTATATTCATATTTCATATTCAAGATAAAAAATATATTGTGCAAGCTATTTTATTATTATATTATTATTACACTATCTATATTGTATTCTGATTTCTTTTGGAAATTAAAGAGATATTCGAGCTTTTTAATATTATTGGACATTAATAATCGTTATGATATGAATAAAATACAGTCGCACTCCCATATTACCACCTTCAGGAAGTGTTCTTATGTAGAAAATGCCCGTTAAGCGTTTATCCGGATAATTATCCGGATCTGAATTTATTCTATTGACATCCGGATATCTGAGTGATCCGAATTATCCGGATAATTCAGACACGGATAAACGGATGACGGATAGGACCTCTATATGTAGAGTCATATATATATTTAATATTATATAGTTGGTTCAAGAAACAAATGTGCTTATAGGAGGTGCTTATATGTAGTGCGATTGTAATTATTAAACAGTGTTAGGTGTTCAGATGAACCGGTTTCAGTAGGACCTAGTGGTGTAGCCGTATTAAAAAAAATTACAACCCAAAATACGTCACGGCATGTAGTAATAGCCGTTAGTGTTCCGAGTTGATTAAAATTTTTCTAATCGATTAGTTGCAACCAGTGTTCGAATTTCAGATCTAAATACTGTTCTCATGAGAACAGTGCAATAGATGTACGCTTTTATGTTCACAAACAATCGATATATACAGACAGTATATTAGAAAATAGAAAAATATATACGTACTATAGTTGTACTTAGTATTAATAATAATAGACCGCAGAATGCTTGACATCATTAACCATAGCTGGATAAATATTTATTAATTTATTAGATTAATGCAGGTATACGTATTTATCGGTTTCTGGCTATGAAACACTATTATTATTTTGCTGTTCTCAAGAACACTAATTTCGAAAACTAATAGTCACATGTTTTCAATAAATTTGATTGACATAATAAATAATTACGTGTTTTATGTATTATTTTCAAACCATTCTGATTGGCAGATTATTATCAACCAACGATTAGTTGGTTAAAAAATTTCCAATCGTTGGTTTTTCAACTAACGATTTGGATCCGTTTAATATATTATGCGTCATAATATGCCATGCTACATAAATGGTAACGTAATATTATCTCATATGTATTGTATAATATAAATTTTTTAATTTTATTTGTTATGTTATTGAAGCTATCTTTACAATGTTAACTTGTTTTTAGATGTGACCTCTGCAGATCATAACAAGAAATCAACCGATTCTAGATTTTTCGATTCTTAGAGCTATTGATCGAAAATTATCAGAAGTTTTTCCGCTATCATCATCACGAAATCACAGGGTCACACTTTTAACCGCCATAATATGAGTGACGGCAAGGGAAAACCTCGAACCGGCAATTATTCCGAATAATAATTTATTATTCGGAATAATTGCCGGTTCGAGGTTTCCATTGCCGTCACTCATATACTGGACAGTGAAAACAAGGGGTTCCCTTATGTCAAGAAAATTAGGGATGTTAGATGGTCCGCAGGGGACCGGTTTTGGACTGGTTCTGGACTGAACTTTTTAAGACTTTTAGGGACCGTCCACAATCAGTCCGAAACTAGTCCAGATAATCACATGATATGAATTGAATGT